GCAATAATGAATATGAAGGCAGTCAGTGTTGACACAGTACTGTTATGTATCTCATAGCACATACTTAGGATCACAGGTATATTTGGTTGTCCTGCCTTTTACAAAGTTTTCTTTTTTTTTTTTTCTTTTTTAAGATTTAGCTATTCATTTGCAAGTTAAGAGTTACACAGAGAGAGGAGAGGCAGAGTAAGAGTAAGAGAGAGAGAGAGAGAGAGAGAGAGAGGTCTTCCATCCGATGGTTCATTCCCCAGTTGGCCACAATAGTCGGAATTGTGCCGATCTGAAACCAAGAGCCAGGAGCTTCTTCCAGGTTTCCCATGCGGGTGCAGGGGCCATCATCTAATGCTTTCCCAGGCCATAACAGAGAGCTTGATCTGAAGAGGAGCAGCCAGGACTAGAACTGGCGCCTATATGGGATGCCGGTGCTTTAGGTTAGGGCTTTAACCTGCTGTGCCACAGCGCCAGCTCCAAAGTTTTCTTTAGGGTGGAATATTTCCTCAGTGGTTAATTACTTTGACATTTGACAGCTCAGGCCAGACCAAATATTGTCTAAAAATCCTGACTGTGGGTTTTCCTGCTGTTTTCTAATGATGAAATCAGTTATGGGTCCTGAATGCGCCTCCATAGAGGTGGTGGTGTGTTTGTGTTGTGTTTGTCTCATTACTGATGATGTTGTCTTTTATCAATTAGTTAAGGTTTTCTCTGCCAAGTTTCCCCACTGCAAGTTACTATTTTCCCCATGGTAATTAATTTCCAGACTATGGAAATATCTTATTTATCATCATACCTTGGCTCACGACTGCCACTGAAGTCTTGTTTGAATCATTTAACAGTTTTGCTTGCTGAGTTGTGATTTTCTAACTGCATCATTCCATCTATATTTTTAGATGCCATTCTACTCAAAGATCTTCCTTTATTTCATACTTTCTTCACTTAATTGATTAATTCAATTTTTCCGTTATGAATTTCAATCACTTAGAATAATGATTTATTTTGATTTCCCAGTTGCCCTGGATTTGACCATTGATAAACTCAAGCTGAACCTGCGTTCTTTTTGATACATCCTGGTGTTTTTAAATACTTTATTTGCTCTTCTCCTGGAAAAAATTGGTGTCACCCTGAATTCCGTATGTTGTTAAGTCTCTCTTCTGTGTCCTATTTCTATTATGCCGGGACAGTTTTTCAGTAATTTTATGGTTTGAGTGAACTTTCTGCCAGTGATTTTTGCATCACTCCTCATACCTTTCTCACAGTTTCTCTGAACCCCCAGGTCCCTATAATGTATGTAGAGAACTTCCAGGACAGCTCTGTTGGAAATTGGTGTTTAATTTTCTGTTTACAATTAAAGTGACATTTTTATTATCCTCCAACTTCCAGTTATGCTGAAGGCCCAACATTTGTGTGTTTCCACTTGTTCTGGCTGACTGTATTCTCAGAGGATATATGATATGAAGAGTTTCAGCTTTAGGTGGCGTCAGTTATCTGAGTTAACCAGAATCCCAGGGCCATGTTTTTAAAAAACATAGTGTTTCAAGACATTTGCAGGTATTTTTAAATTTTTTATCCAGAATACATGGGTTGCATAACTTCACCTCTAGCAATCTGTATTCTCTAAATCTAGGTTAGTAATTAAATTATTTTCTTTCTCATTATAATTATTTTATTACATGTGTTACATGTTCCATTTGTCAATCCAGAAAATATCTCTCTGAATGACATGCCCATGGTCAACATAAAATCATTTCGTGACATCAGTAATTCTCTTGATGATTTTCCAAGCATTTCTGTTTATACCATTCTCCACTAGCTTTAGAAATTATCAAATATAGTTCCATACATGGAAATTAAATCCTATAACATTTTAAAACATTGATGTAGATTAAAATAAGTTATCAATGGCATCTGACTATGGGCTTCCAATGAAATACGAAACAACTTCAGAAAGCTTGTGGGAAAACATAGTGAAAAGAAGTTTATTTTGATGCATAAAATATTTTGAAATCCGTGCAAGGTTTTTCATAATATGAATTTTTGATTTTCATTGAGCTTTTTGACCTCTTGAATAGTATTAAGAACAGTTGCTGCAACTGATAAGATATACTTTTTGACATAGAAAAGGAAAATTCTTCATTCAATTTCCCAGAAAAGAAATCTGAGGGTGATTATTAGGAAAACAGTGCGTGGAACTGGCTGAGTCGGGGACAGTTTGCACAAGTAGGCAGGAGAGTACAAGAAAGTATGTACCAATATAAGAAGGACAGCCATTTTTCTGTTCTGTGTGTGAGCTCTGATCCTGGCCTAATAAAATTTGCTCTTTTGGAAATACTAAAATTGAGGATTCTTATGAGAAATCTTCTGCTTTTGTATATGATTTTATATTTTAAAAGCCACAGTGTGAGGCTGGTGCCGTGGCTCCATAGGCTAATACTCTGCCTGCTGTGCTGGCACACCAGGTTCTAGTCTCAGTTGGGGCGCTGGATTCTATCCCAGTCGCTCCTCTTCCTGTCCAGCTCTCTGCTGTGGCCCTGGAGTGCAGTGGAGGATGGCCCAAGTGCTTGGGCCCTGCATCTGCGTGGGAGACCAGGAGAAGAACCTGGCTCCTGGCTTCGGATCAGCGTGGTGCACCTGCTGTTGTGGGGTGAACCAATGGCAAAGGAAGACCTTTCTCTCTGTCTCTCTCTCTCTCACTGTCCACTCTGCCTGTCCAAAACAACAACAACAAACAAACAAAAAAACACAAAAAATTACAGTGTGAGCAATCAAAAAGTGTTATTTTTTTTTTTTTTGACAGGCAGAGTGGACAGTGAGAGAAAGGTCTTCATTTGCCGTTGGTTCACCCTCCAACGGCTGCCGCGGCCAGTGCACTGCGGCCGGCACACTGCACTGATCCGAAGCCAGGAGCTTCTTCTCCTGGTCTCCCATGGGGTGCAGGGCCCAAGCACTTGAGTCATCCTCCACTGCACTCCCGGGCCACAGCAGAGAGCTGGACTGGAAGAGGAGCAACCGGGACAGAATCCGGCACCCCGACCGGGACTGGAACCCGGTGTGCCATCGCTGCAAGGCGGAGGATTAGCCTATTGAGCCGCGGTAACAGCCAAGATTTGTTTTTTATGTCCCAGAATACAACCTCTACTCTATATGTCTTGTCAACAGTAACAGGTGTTAGTGAGATTTTGGGTAAGAAAAGCTGGCTGTAAGCCTGCAGTCACCTCCTGTTTACCATGTTAAGCTGGACAAGTTATGTTGCATGGTGTTAACCTCGTTGCCTGCTGTAATGGGATGATTATGCTACAGAATGTGGGGCTGCTGTGACACAGTGGGTTAAGTTGCTGCTTGTGATGGTGGCATCCATTTTGACATCACGGATTTGAGTTCTGGCTGCTTCACTTCTGGTCTAGCTCCCTGCTAATGTGTCTGGCAAAGCAGTGGAAACTGACCCAAGCACTTTGGCCTCTGCCACACATGTGGGAGCCCAAGTTGGAGATCTGGGTTCCTCACTTTGATGTGGCCTACCTATGGCTTGCAGCCATTTGGGAGTTAACCAGTGGGTGGAAGATATTCCTCTGTCTCTCCCCTTCTCTGTCATGCTGCCTTTCAAATATATAAAGCTTATCTTTTTTTTTTAAAGAATGAAGAAATTCATGGATTTGTAAATTATTATACTTTACTATTCTATTGAAATTATATTTGCGGGTGAATTTCTATTTTCTATTAAGTACTAAGTTTTAAACTGAGAAAATGAAATTTACATAGTTGCTTGGGAATTTCTTGGTTAATTTTTGCCGTTTAATTATAAGCTGTTAGCTATATATCTATTTTCCTCTTGTTTGAACACTTCTGGGCTTAACATTATTAAATCATCTATTCAAGGCAGGTAGAGAGGCCAATGACATCCTGGTGTATTTTGCTTTTTAGAGGAAGATAAATTAAACTTTATATTTAGCACGCTTGTTCTGAATGTTGAGCTGTTGGTTTTGTAATGGCTCATTTTGGTGATTACAGAAGTAAAACTCCTGTATCATGTATCAGTAGACAGTTTTTTTCTGATTAGTACTGTCCAGATCTCTTCAGAAAGAAATTCTGTTGGCTATTGAGAACTAATGTACCTCTAAAGATGTTTTCTATTCAGCAATATCTTTACCTTGTTCTGCCTATACTTACATAATCTGTGTGAAACAGCACACTGCACTTTAAAGAGTTAAAGATAAATTTCTTCAGATTGTTTTCTGCTGTTTTATTGAGCATTTTATGAAATAGTATATTCAGTTGAATAAAATCTATTGAAGTTGAAATATATTGAACTTCAGAATTAATGTGCTTTTCCAACATTTCTTCTCCAAAAACAAACAAATTAATTAATAAAGGCTGATTAAATCACTTTCTCCGTATAATCACATTGACTTTCTGGAAAGCAGAGAATGGATCTGTTTATGTTTTTTCGTGAGGTGTGCAAGCAGCATGCTTGCATTTTTTCTTAGTGTGTGATTTTCAATTAGAGTTGAAATGCAATTACAATGTGAACTGGTGCAGTTCTGTGAATACATCAAGTAGAATTCTCTCCTAACTTAGTGATTTTCCTAGGGTCAAAAGTATGTTTCAAAAACTTATATTATTTGAATAACCATCTCAGTTCTACAACTAAATTTACTTATCAACATCTATTTTTTGAATTGCTTTTATGTTGTTCTGCCAGTATTCTGGGGTGCTGTGTTTCTTGCCCACTGTTTTTCTTAACTATTACTCTGAAGACGCTGAGCTGGCTTTTCTTACCTCTTCTTGAAAAGTGTCCTCTTTGACTGATATTTGGAATGTTTGCACGTAGCTGGGATTATTTCTGTGTATTAGCCTATTATACTCTGCAGTATGTGTAATCTATGTTTCACAAAATTATTTCAGTATGTTAAAGTGTTAAGGGTTTAAATGTATGCTGGTATGGATTAGTTTCTCTGTGACCTTGGCAAATAGCTTACTCCTTTTTTCATTTTCTTCTTTCTCCACAGATGCATTTTGTAGGAGTAATTTGAGGATGAATGTGCTCAAATCATTTTGAAATTGCCAAGCACCATATACAGTAAGTAATATGTGTTTTTATTTTTCCACTCAGTCGCAGTCATGCTGAATGAATTTGGCAGACAGACATAAAAGAACACATTTCGACTGACTGTTCTTGATATTTGAGCATATTGAGGGAAAATGTGTACTGGAGAACAAATTAATGAGCTATTTACTAATGTGAATTAAGTTGTGTAATTTCTAGATTTTTAATGACTGATGTAAACATTGCTCTGCTCCCCATATATAATTTTTTCACTTATTCTTTTAAGTGATATTCTCTAATAAATTGAAATGAGTGAAGGAAAGATAAATAATATTATCTACAGTTGATATGCAAAGTTTTAAAAATACTGAATTATTATATATTAAGACTTTTTTGTGTCAGGCAATTTATTACAGCATTACCTTTAATCTTCCCTCAAATATTTTAATATAATTATTTTATTCAAATTTATATACGAAAACTGAGAGCCCCAAGGCTGAATAACTTGTTCAATACTTCTTCAAAGTGATGAATCTAGGCTTTGTACACAAGACTTTCCACAAAGTATTGCCTTCACCAATAAATTAGAATAAGTTAATTTCTATTAAGGAGTTTAATGTTTAAGAATTTAAGGATGTACTGAAGGTTTCTTTTTGATTTTGTTTCTGCTTATGCATTATCCTGACAAAGTTGCAGATTTCTGATTTTGGTATTTTCTGTTTTGTCTATCCTTTAATTTCAAATGATGCTTTCTTATTCTTGGACTTTTTTTTAAAAGGTTTTTACTTAATGAATACAAATTTCATATGTACAGCTTTTAAGAATATAGTGGTACTTCCCCCAATTCCCACCTTCCCATTCCTTTTTTCTTTTTTTTTTTTCTTTTTTTTTTTTTTGACAGGCAGAGTGGACAGTGAGAGAGAGAGACAGAGAGAAAGGTCTTCCTTTGCCGTTGGTTCACCCTCCAATGGCCACCGCGGCCAGCGTGCTGCGGCCGGCGCACCGTGCTGATCCGATGGCAGGAGCCAGGAGCCAGGTGCTTTTCCTGGTCTCCCATGGGGTGCAGGGCCCAAGCACCTGGGCCATCCTCCACAGCAGAGAGCTGGCCTGGAAGAGGGGCAACCGGGACAGAATCCGGTGCCCCGACCGGGACTAGAACCTGGTGTGCCGGCGCCGCTAGGCGGAGGATAAGCCTAGTGAGCCGCGGCGCCGGCCCAGGACAGTGTCCTTTCAAGAAGAAGAGGTGACTCTCTGTGGTTGGGCACAGGGAAGACCACGTGAGCATCCAGCAAGATGGCAGCCCCTGGGGAAGCCAGCCTCTGAAGCACCTGTGCCTCAGAGCCACAGAAAACTGATCCTGCTGTTCAAACTGCCCATCTGAAAGTGCTTAGTAATGTAGCTGATGTGACCGACAAACCAGAGCAAAGCCTCCTTGTCTCGAGTCTGATCATCCATGCTGCCTCTCTGTGGGGATCTGCTTCCTCCAGGTCTAGGGGCTGGAGACCTAGAGTG